GTGCAGCCCCTGGACCTGGTGAAGAACCGGATGCAGCTGAGCGGGGCCGGGGCCAAAGGCCGGGAGTACCGGACGTCCCTGCACGCTCTGGGGTCCATCCTGCGCCACGAGGGACTGAGGGGCATCTACACGGGGTATGGGCACCTCTTGAACCCCCAGACCCCCTGGGAACCCACCCAAACCTGCGTGCCCTGGGGTCAGCCCCATCCTGCAGGTTGCTGTCATCTGCGTGCGATGCAGAGCCCCCAAAACCTCAGAACCCCAAGCAGCTGCCAGGCTAAAGCTCTTTCCTGTCCCCCCACCCCTGTTTTTGGGACTCCTCCCATTCTTTGTGTCCCCCCAGGCTATCAGCGGGGCTTCTACGCCAGGCCACCTACACCACCACCCGCCTGGGCATCTACAGCGTGCTCCTGGAGCGTTTTGGGGGGGCTGATGGGACCCCCCCTCCCTTCCTGGCCAAGGCAGCGATGGGCATGACAGCAGGGGCTGCGGGGGCCTTTGTGGGGACCCCGGCTGAGGTGGCCCTCATTCGCATGACAGCTGATGGCAGGTAAGCCCTCAACCCTCCAAAACATATCTGTGCCCCCGCCTGCCTCCCCAAGGCAGCTTTTTTTACCAAAATCCCCTTTTTTTGCCCTGAATCCCAGGCTACCCCCGGGCGAGCGCCGTGGGTATCACAACGTGTTCGACGCTCTCGTGAGGATGGCGAGGGAGGAGGGGGTGCTCACGCTGTGGAGGGTAGGTGGGGGCTGCGGGACCCCGAGAGCCTCCCATGACTCCTCAGGGATGCAGAGGGTGTCCTGATGCTTGGGCGGGGGGAGCTGGGTCCCCCAAACTGCCACCTCCCACCCCAGTGCTGTGTCCCCACCGTGGTGAGGGGGGAGAGCACGGTCTGTGGGGGAAGTGGGAATGCAGGGGGGGTCTGGGGGTGCACGGGACTGACCCAAACATGCCGTTTTCCCCTAGGGCTGTATCCCCACCATGGCCCGTGCCGTGGTGGTCAACGCCGCCCAGCTCGCCTCATACTCCCAATCCAAACAATTCTTGCTTGACTCCGGTGAGTTCGGGGGGTTTGGTCTGCCATGGGGAAACCCTAAATCCTGGTGCCCTCTCCCCCCATTCCCCTTTGATGTTTTGGGGTGCCCCCAGGGCATTTCCGTGACGACATCCTGTGCCACTTCTGCGCCAGCATGATCAGTGGGCTGGTGACCACGGCTGCCTCCATGCCCGTTGACATCGTCAAGACCCGGTGGGTTCATTTTTGGGAGGGGGTGCCCTGCTTCCCTTTAGATAACCACAGATATGACATGTGGTCACCCCAAAACCTCCTGTTTAACCCCTAAATGCTCTCCAACAGGATCCAGAACATGAGGACAATAGATGGGAAACCCGAGTACCGCAATGGGCTGGTGAGTGAGCGGGCTTTGGGAGGGCAACACCATTTGGGAGTCTCCATTACTTTAGGAGGGGCGCCTGTCGTTTTGGGAGTTCCCTTTCAACTGGGGGATTTCATGCCATTTTGGGGGTGTTCCCTGTCATTGGAGGTGGGGGGAGAAATTCAGGTCATTTTGAGGCGATGCCCATAATTTTGGGGAGCTCCCCTGGCATTTTGGGAAGCTTCCCCATTATTTTGGTGGTGGGGGAGGGGGGTGTGGGTAATCCCTGTCATTTTTTCAAGGTTTCTCATAATTTGGGAGGATTCCCCATAATTCTGAGAGTGTCCATGTTATTTCAAGAAAGTTCTTCTTAAAGGGCATCCCTGTCATTTTTGGAAGGTTTCTCATTATTTTGGGGGGGGCCCTGACACACTGCTCCTCCTGCAGGATGTGCTGCTGAAGGTGGTGCGGTATGAGGGCTTCTTCAGCCTCTGGAAGGGCTTCACCCCCTACTATGCCCGCCTGGGCCCCCACACCGTGCTCACCTTCATCTTTCTCGAGCAGATGAACAAGTGGTACCAGCGGCTCTTCCTCAGTGCCTGACACCCCCAGGGGGGTTCGGGGGGATCTGACCCCATCCCATGGGCTCTGCAGGGGCACTTGACCCCCAGTGAAGGGGCTTTGGGGGTGTATGACCTCTCCCTTAGGTGATGTGGGGGTGCCTGACCCCCCCACATCACCAGGGGCTGGGGGGCAGGTGCTTCTATAGGAGTGCCTGGCCACCCCCATCAAGGCTATGAAGTGGCCCTGAGGCCCTATGGAGGGGTCCTGGGCCCTATAGGGGTGCATGACCCACTCCTTGGGGCTTTAGGGATCCCTGGGGCCCTCTGACGGGGCCCTGGACTTGAGACAGGGGTGCTGGATCCCTCCCATGGGGTCAGCAGGGGATGCCTTGTCCCTGTGGGGCAGCCCTCTAGAGACTGTAGGGTGCCCTCCCCCTGTGCTCCCTCCCCACCCCGCTGGGGGTTTTGTTACCAGCCAATATCGAGGTCACAGTGTGGGGCAGGAGCCCCCCTAAATTCCCCCCTCCCTTCCCCCAGCACCTCCCACCCTGCGCTTTGTTAATGAATCATGGATCGTGATAATGTAATTAAAGCAGACCCACAGACCTTGGGGGGTGCTTTATCTCTGTCACACCAGGGGTGGGGTCCGCTTTGCTCACACTGTGCGTGTGGCCTTGCCCCCGCCAGGGACAGGGTGACAGGAGGGGACCCCAAAGGCAGACCCCAAGAACATCCAGCAGAGGCAGCTGAGCTGTTTATTGTCTCCCCCGCCAAATCTGGGAGTCCTGGGGTGGGGCTGTCCCTCAGACAGGGGGGCCACCATCACCCCAGGGCAGGTCAGAGCCGGCCAGGACTGTCCTTTCCACCCCCTCCTCCGTGATGGCTGCCAGCCTGATGACACCCCCGCTGGAGCCGTCCCGCACCATCGCCAGGGCCAGCGCTGAGGGAACACAGGTCAGGAACCCCCAAACCACTCGTGTTCCCAAATCCCCAAGACACTCCAAAACCCCCCAGCACTGCCCAAACTCCTCTGTGCCCCAAAATACTCTCCCAGGGTCCCCCAAACCCTCCATGTTCCCAAAATCCCCTCCCAGCACACGCCCAAACCCGTCAATGCCAGCCAGACTCCTCTGTGCTCCCAAACTCTCACCCATACCACTCCCCCCTCTCCCCCCACCCACATCCAAATTCTCCAATATGCCCCAAACCCACCACGGGCAACGAATTCCTGGCACTGGGAGCGGCTCATCCCAGGCTTGAATGTGGCATCCAGGAATCCGTAGATGTAGGAGCTGCCTGAGCCCCCCACAGCGAAGGGCTGGCGCAGGAGGAGCCCTCCCATCGGCACCACGTACACCTGGGGGGCAGAGGGGGGGCTCTAGGGTGCTGTGGGGCAAGGGAAGGGGCTGTGGTGCAGAAGGAGGAGATTGTAGGAGAAAGATGGGGTTATGGGGCAGAAAGTGGGGAGCTGTAGGGCAGAGGCGAGTGCTGTGGGGTAGACAGGGGGATACCAGGAGGCAGAAGGAGACGTGGGGCAGAGTGGGATGCTCCCGGACAGAAAAGGGAACACTTGGGCAAAGGAAGAGACATTCTGGGATGGAAGAAGGGACACTAGGGTGGAGAAAGGACACTCCAGGGTAGAAGAAGGAATGCTGTAGGGTGGAGAAAGGACACTCCAGGGTAGAAGGAGGAATGCTGTAGGGTGGAGAAAGGACACTCCAGGGTAGAAGGAGGAATGCTGCAGGGTGGAAAAAGGAGATGTGCTGGGGTGGAAAAGGGGACACCAACTGAAGGGAGCCCACCTGTCCCCCCCGCCGCGGGTCCCAGCCAGCGACGATGATGCCGGCGCTGAGCTCCTCACGGTAGCGGTAGCAGCTCTGCTGGAAGAGGCGGGCGGCCGTGCGCACCCGTGGCGGCTCCTCCAGCTCCACGCTGTGGGGCAGGGCCAGGTGTGGGGCTGGGGGTCGCTCTGACAGCCCCCCCGGCCCTGCCCCACGCCCACGGGGGGTACCTGTGGAAGGCCAGCTGATAGGCCACGGCGTCGGCCACCGCCTGCGTGTCGGCGGCTGAGCCCGAGCGGCAGCAGAAGATGCGGTCGTGCACGGGGGTCAGTTTGTCCGTCACCCGGTTGGCTATGTAGGCCCTGCGGGACACCGCGGAGATGTCACCGTGACAGCCGCCCGGCTGCCGGGGGTGACGCCACGGTGACAGCGGCGTGACGGTACCGTCACAGACCCCCGAGGTGACACTGCAACGGGAGCAATGAACTGGAGGTGCTGAGAAACCCCTGGAAAGCAGCCGCCGGTCCAGAAAGATGCTAGAATTTCTTTGGGCAGAAAGGGAAAGGTTTTGCAGGCGTGGGACTTAGAAGTGTGGGATTTTCTGTGGTAATAGCAAAAAAAAATAGTGAAAATCCCGGAAAGCCAGGGATAACCCCTGGGGGACGCTGGGAAATGGATTTTACAGGATTACCAGGATGGAATGTTTTGTGCAGAGATCTGAGGCACTGGGAAGATTTTTACACATACCGGACCCAAGATTATAATAAAAATAGTGTGTGTCCCATATTTTACATATGAATCAAGAATTACAAGTCTTAGAAGGATGCAGGCAGCCCTTTGGACTGGGTGATTTGAACACGGGGTTCAAATCCAGTTTCTATCAACATGCTGAGTTCCGTGGGATCAAAAACTCTCCCTAAAAGAGGAAAAATGATCTGGCCAATAAGAATGTGGAGAGAAATCCAAAGATTGGGACCAAGAGGGCAAACTTTAACCTGAGAACACTTTTGCAGAAATTACTCCACATAAACAAAGGATCCCTTGGATCATTTTGGTGATGGAAAATTGCCTGTGACAAGGCAAGGTGTGACACTGATACCTGGGGACCCTGCCCACAGCTTTGGGGGTGGCTTCCCAGTGGCATCACGGTGGCACCCCGACAAGAGTGACAACGCCGTGACACGGTCCCGTACCCCCGTGACGTCACCGATGACGTCATGGCCCCTGGCGCTCACCCGGTGGTGGTTCGGGAGTCGGCCCCTATGACGACGCCTCCGTCGAACTCCACGGCCATGATGGTGGTCTGGGGGGGGGGAGAGGAGGGAAGGGCTGCGCTGAGACTCCCTGCCCCACAGAAACCTTCCCACAGCAGATCCAGCCTCACTCAACGCCCCCCGCCGCACAGAAATCGATCCGTGCCCCACAGCAGCTCTCCCCCTCAGCAGGGGAACCGCCCCGTGCCCCATCGCGCCGCTCTCCAGGGGGGTCCCTCTTCCACCCCAAACTCAGCCCCAGCTCCACCCTCAGCCGCGCCCCGCAGATCCGCCGCCCCGCCGCCCCGCGGGATCCCCCGCTCCGCAGCACCCCCGTAAAGCCCATGGCGAGTCCGCAGCCCTCCGGGTGGGTCCCGCCGCCGCACTCACGCCGGTGCTGACGGGCTCCGCCGTCCATTCCCGGTGCGGCCCGGCGGGAGCCGGCCCGGCCCGCGGCTCCCACACCGTCACCGCCGCCATCTTCCGCCGCGCTTTACGGCAGCGGCGCGGCACGGCAGGCCGGGCCGCTGCTTTACGGCAGCGGCGCGGCGCGGCAGGCCGGGCCGCTGTTTTACGGCAGCGGCGCGGCACGGCAGGCCGGGCCGCTGCTTTACGGCAGCGTGCCAGGAGGGCGCCCGCTGCTTTTTGCGTAAATAAAACTCTTCCCTTTTTCCAGCACGGCCGGCCCGCTCCGCGCCCCGAGCCGGGCACGGAGCCCCGCTCTGACCGGTGCGGACGAGGGGGGGCGGGTGCTGCTGGGGCCTGTTGGTGGGGGTCACCAGGGCGGGCGTTCCCGCGGCTCTCAGGGGAGGATGCTTGTGTTATGTGTAGCAGATATAATTCGCTCCATTTCTAGTATGATATGCGGGATATTGAATATTTGTTGGAGTATACACGTTTGTGTTAGGAGTCCTCCCCACCCTCGCAGGCGAAACCTGGTGTTATGTCGAAACCCGATTTACAGGTAAAAGGATGTGGCTCGGCCAGGAGACGGTCCAAGTCTGGAGAGATGCGGGGATGTCCTGGTCAAGTTTGGAGGGATGCGGGGATGTCCTGGCCAAGTCTGGAGAGATACGGGGACACCCAGCGCTGATCATCGCGTGATGGATGTCATAGAAATCCTCGGGCAGATCCACGTGAATGCAGCGTTCCTATAAATTTCATTAAGAGATTCACCAACTCCGGACACTGAATTGTTCTTCCTCATCAGCAAAAAAGAAAATCTCATCAACCTATAGACTCTGAATGGAAGAAAAGACTGACTACTGAAATCTTGGCCTCAGGTGGAATTTTTCCTATCAAAACCACTTGTGCTAGGATGGAGGTGTGTGGGCACCGAGGAAAACCTCTGCTGAGGCTGACTCCTTGTTGCACGCCCAGGGCTGACCGACCCCGGGCTCAGCACTGTTCTTTCCTTGTGGACGGCCTGATAAAATTTGATTGCAGAATAAATATTTTATTTTTTTATTTTAATTTGGCTGGACAGATTTTCATTTATAACAGTTGGAACACCTCACAGAGGGGAGGGCAGCCCACCCCTGCCCCACTCTCTCTCCACCCTTCCATCCTGCCCCATCCCTCGCTCCCCCCACCGCCCACCTGTGAGTCCCAGCAGCCCCACATGGGAGCCTGAACTTGTGGGGATAGTGCAGCCCTGGCAGCAGGACAACACCGAAATAAAACAGGCAGGGACAACATCTGTGGGCTGCACGGTGTCACACAGGGACCTGGAGGGTGACACAGAGGGTGGGGGCAGCTGAGGGGCAGAAGGGTCTGTAGGAGTAAAAAGGGGGGCACAGAGATGCTGAGAGCTGTGGTGGGGAGCTGGAGGGTGACACATGAGGCTGAAGGAGTATTTAGGAGTAAAAAGGGGGGCACAGGGTCACTGAGAGGCTGCGGTGGGGAGCTGGAGGGTGACACAAGGAGGTTGAGAGGCTGGGGGTGCCTTGAGGACAAAGTGGGTGCAGCCTGAAGGTTACAGGTGAACCGGCCCTCACACCACGCTTAACCTCACCCTAAAAACCACCCCTCCCCGGGTGGGGAGTGCATGGTGGAGGTTAGGGGGCCAAGGGACAGTGTCGGGGGCTTGGGGTGACACACAGACATGGCAGGCTGAGGGGAAAAAAGGGGGGACTTGACAGGTGGAGAGCTGACACTGAGGTTTAGGGGTGCAAAGGAC